CTGGTAGGAGAGGTAGTGGTATTCCGGTAGGCAGGAATGGTCAGGAACTGGTTTAGGGTATCTTTCTATGAGTGGTCCAGTCCATTCACAACAAAGAGAACAAATTTCTCCTTCCTTTTCTTGACAGGACAACTTTAGAAACTCCCTGTAGTTCTCCCCCTCCTCATAGTGCTCATTCATAAACTTCTCAATCTTACGGAAGTAACAGTGGCCTGGGACAGAGTCTTTCCTTACTCCTGCATTGTGATACTGAACCAAGTACAAAGTGTTGTGAGAAAACTGGAAATCTGTTGATGTGTTTTGTGAAACACATTGTTACATTTAATTTACAGATGTCTTTGTTTGGAAGGTTTTTCCCTCTACTCTAGTGACAGGCATGTATAAATGTGCCCTGTGCAGGTAGAACAAAAAGCTATGCGTGTTCTCAAATCTTGCAAATAGTGGATTACTTTTTATAAATTTTAGTATACTTGTTATGGTTTAAATTTATCTATGGTTTAAAATTTCTTAATTTTCNAAAGAACAAATTTCTCCTACCTTTTCTTGACAGGACAACTTTAGAAACTCCCTGTAGTTCTCCCCCTCCTCATAGTGCTCATTCATAAACTTTTCAATCTTACGGAAGTAACAGTGGCCTGGAACAGAGTCTTTCCTTGCTTCTGCATTGTGATACTGAACCAAGTACCAAGTGTTGTGAAAAAACTGGAAATCTGTTCATGTGTTGTGTGAAACACATTGTTACATCAGTTTACAGATGTCTTTATTTGGAAGGTTTTTACCTCTACTCTAGTGATAGGCATGTATAAATGTTGCCATGTGCAGGTAAAACAAAAAGCTACGAGTGTTCTCAAATCTTGCAAATAGTGGATTCCTTTTTATAAATTTTAGCATACTTGTTGTGGTTTAAATTTATCTATGGTTTAAAATTTCTTAATTTTCAATGTCTTAAGTTCATTGTCATAATTCAGAACAAAGAGAAATGAAAATCCAATTGGTTTGAAAATTTTAGCCAAAACTAAATTTAAACCACAACATACCCATAAAGTCAAATAAATGTGAACATTTTACAAATAAATATGGACTTGTTTACCTGGCCTGGGTGTCACATGGGC